CAGCGCCAGCATTGCTGATGCCAAGGCTTTTAACTTATAAAGGCATAGGGGAGAGCAGTGTGTTATGATTTATGAGATTAATTATCAGTTTGATAATTCTGCATCAATTGTTCAAAATGATTTTTCCACTAAAGCAACTAAAATGTGGACACAGGAAGGCAGCTGGAAGTAACAAAAGGCAAGCCCTTTACTTAGCTGAACTAAGACCAGTGAACTGAACAGCACACTGTGACAAAGGACAAGTGGAGGAAGGGACAATGTATACACAGGAGGGCAATTAGGAGTCTGGTAACAGCTCAGAAGTCAGTGTTTATTTGTAAGTATGAAGCAGTTTTATGACATCTGAAAGTTTCCTTCCTATGGAATTTTTCTCAGGGCAAATATATAAATATTTAAGCTTTCCTTAGATGGAAGAGCTGTGGGAATGATGTCCTCCAAACTCTACAAACAAATGTCAAAACTCTTTAATTTGCCTTAATTTTTCTTAAACATTCAAGAATTTCCAGATCAAGAAAATTTGCTCATTGGATCAAATTGTGCACGTCTTGCTGGACAAGGATTGGCTCACTCTACAGAACTTATTGAATTCTGATTGGATATTGTCTCACCTAAACGTTTTCATCGACATGCATTTCATTATAATTTTTGTCCTTGTGCTTGTCATAAAAAGGGTTGTTGATGAAATTTATGACAAATTAATAAAAACTAAAAAAAAAAGGTAAAAAAAAAATTCTTTATTGCAACTGCAACCTGAACACTAAACTCAAATTTCCTCCACAATGGTATGAAACCAGTGAAGTAAAATAAAAATGTGTTTCTTCAGCATGTGAAAAAAACCTTTATTTATTGTGGTAAACCCTTCTATCAAAAACATGATAACGATGACAGTCAATCAAACAAACAAACAAATAAATGCTTTCAATCGGACATGTATGTGTGGGGTATGTGATACTCCACTGCTTTTTGCATTGATTGAAACTTTTTGGATGGTTTGTAAAAATTCTATACATATCAGCTGTAATGAGGTCAGTATCAAGCTGCTTTTTAACTATAAGCAACCAAAATATCCTTAAATATAAGCCTAAATAAAAGTGTCATAATGGGACAGCCAATACAGCTATCCCACATAGCAGACAGGTCTGACCCGTATCTGGTGTCAAGCCGGCACTGCTGGCTGACTTCTGGCATGGTAAGTGGTATTTTATCCAGATATGGGCCAGGCCTGGCATAGATGGCACTGTGTATGTGATGGCATGCCATATCTGGCCTGATTGTGGTTTGGTTTATGTGGCCCAGGTCTGGCCCGGATCCGGGATCAAGCTGTCACTTCTGACTGACTGGTGTTATGGCAGGGTGTATGTCAACTAGATGTGGGCCAGGTCTGGCAATGATGACACTATTTATGTTCCTATTTTGTTATTTTTGTTAGAAATACCGTGTTGCAATACTACACTGCTTGGTAGCCAACGTTTCAAATGCAGGTTTGACAGGTTTGTGAGTGTACACAAAACATAGTGAGTAGTGATGGGTAGATGAGGCCTCGTGAAGCGTTTCAGCACATTCCCCAAACTGTATCGATACTGTGTCGACACAGTGTTGCTGTGTTGCTCCATACTGACACCTGCTGGTAGTGATGGGTCCAGCAACACTGATGCACCAACGCATGTATCAAGCTCACAGAGCGATCCTCTGATCTTGGAATGTTTCTCTCCGGCACTCTCCACAATACTAAGGGGTTGGCAGTCCTTTATAATAAAATTCAGCGACTGCCTGGTCAGAACAGTCTTCCTAGATGTTATTCAAAATAATAAAACACATATTAATAAAAAAAATGATGATAAAGATGTTCAGTGTCAATATAGGCCTACCAGTGTTCATTCTCGGTGTGTTTGTCTCCTCATTTTCATGTTTGGCTCTGTAATGCCTAAACACTGAGGAGGTGCTTTTGTTTGTGTAAGAAAGCTCCGCAGAACAGATGCGACATTTAACCTGCATAAAATGAAATAAATAATTTACACTTCAAGTCACATTGCTGTTTTTCCTATTATGATAGGTTACACTGAAACAAAGACAGACAAACAGTTACCACATGTTGATCTGAGCCACCAAAGGGCCATCATTCTTTGTGGTACGTGGGCCATGTGTAAGCACATTGTGTGGGTCAGATCCAGGCCATACCAATTTTGCTATGAAGGAGGAAATTAGCTGTGCACATCCAAATCAATTTTTCCTGAGATTATTTAGTTTCTGTCAGAAACCTGAAATATATTTCTGAAATGAGAAGTCATTGATCTTATAATGTGCACACTGGAAAATTAAAACTGTCAACACAAGACTTTATATTAATGTCACACCATCAAGCATTAGTAAATGTGTGTGTCTGTTGATAGAGGTTTTATTAATAATTAATAATAATTAATTTATTTCATATTGTAATTCATGGTTAATTCAGAGAGTTACTAGATCCTAGTTAATTATTTTGACCTCATCTAAGGTGAGACCTATTTTTGCCTTATGAAGCATTTATTAATGAAAAAGTACACTTGAACAAGTGTCTGCCATCTTCACAACAGAAAAATGACACAGGCAAAGCACAGAGATACAGAACATACAAATAGTTTATGTCAGGTGTAAATGTAACCCACCTGAAGTTTGCAGAAAACTGAAATGAACTTAAGAAAGTCCAGACATGATTTAGCATCTGAACGATGTCCAGTATGCTTACAGTTATAGCTGGCTGATATTTCTGCAGGGAAGTAAACACCTAGTTAGAGCCTGGAGTTCAGTCAGAGAATGATGCAGAACAATTTTAAGGTGTGTAAAACTGTTTTTATGATATTTTTATTTCAACATTTCAAAAACAAAACACAATATTTTACGTGTTTTTTGCCGTTCTCGATTTTGTATATGGTTGTTTCTGTCTATGGTTGCTTTGCACCTCGTAACCAGTTTGATTGTGTAGTAAATTCAGTCTCTTTGCTGTCTTTCCACATGTTCATACATTTTGAAATGCAGTCGGAGTTGTTTTTTATGTCATTGTGATGTCTGTGTTTATTTCGTGTAGTCTCGTATGTAGTATGTTTTTATTCTTTTTTTGTACATGTTCCCATTTTGCTAACATATCAATATTAAAGTCACACAAAAACAAAAAGAAAGAGAGAGAAACATGTTGGTACATCTCAGGTTGGCAAAGTTGCGTCTGAACAAACCACAAGATCTGATTGCTCGGAACGTTTTTAGACTTGTGCAAAATGTTTGGAAAGGAAGCGTGATCATTAAAGACAGACAAAGATCTAACCAACGTTGTCACTTTTTATTTTTATGATTTTTAAGCATCATAATTGTGTACAATATTCTTAAAGGAATTTTCCAACCACTCGTTCATTAAGCAGTCACAGACCATCAAATTCAGAAAGATATTTCTCGCAAACCAACTTCCCACACTCAAATAATAAAAACAGGAAAGAAACTATTGCTTCTATCTTATCTTTGCTTTACCTAGAAGCTTTTTAAGTTTCGTTAAGACAGAAAGTAAGATAAACACACCTTCGTACTACGACGTCAAATAAAGGAAGCAAACTTAACAAAAATTGCAGAAAATATATTTATAGATGAAATATAAAAAGTCTGACTATAAAAATGACTATATATATATATATATGTGCATCAAGATTGCTAAAATCATCATCAGCACCTGTTATGTTAATTAAGGCCTGACTTTTAAGAATGACAACAATTACTGTGTGGATTTGTTTAGTTTCTGTTTAAGTGCCAGAGATGAACACTCACTCACAATACACAAACTATTGGGATCAATCATCAGGCTGCACCATATTTAAGTGTCTGTAAACTTTGTGTATGGGGCACCGCTTCTCAGAAAGCTCTCAGTGAGATGTTGTGGGTTTGAAACCCAAACACCTTCCTGATAAGAGGCAGAGATGTGATATGCCACGCCATCACATCTTTAGCTCTGCCTGTGTGTTCCTGCACTTACCAATAAATAACCAAACACGAATCAACTTGTATATTTTGACTCTGATCAGTGAGCCAGACCACCGGTGAAAATGTCTGTGAAGATCCTCTCCATCACTCTCCTCCTGCTCTCGGTGTGTGTGTGCTTCAGCTACTCTGCAGGTAACTATGCTCTACTGTCTAAAGGAAAACAAAAAGAAAAAAATACATAAAACTGATCACAGCATGACTTTTTCCAAAAATGGCTTCTAGCTATTTGTGATGCTGGGGTACACTTGTGACTTTGGGGGTTTTTATTGGGTATGACTGCTCTGTAAGGACTCTCACATTTTCTTTAATTCAGTCACATTCTGGTTGATTGGTTAATATTATTTTTGCAGTTTATTGGGCAGGACGACTGTGTAAAGAGCACAAACAGTGCTATTCTGCCATAGACATCTCTGAATGCTGTTTTCTGAACAACATTTGGTTTGTGAGTCATGGCATTTTTAAAATATGCCCCTTACATAAAGAGTTGGTCTTGGATGTTTTTTTCCCCCTAATTTTTCTTTTTTTTCAGTGACTGAAATTACTCAGGTGGCACGGTGGGTGCAGTTGTTCCAAATACACCCTGTAACCAAATCTTAATGCCGTCAGGTTTTTGTTGTGACTGATTGCAAAATTTTTTTGTTATATCTGCAAACAGGAACTAACAGACAGAGAGTATACCATGATTTTTTTTTTTACCATTCAGTTACCTGCACATATTTGTTTTATTTAAGATTTAAAAAAATGATCTACTAGCCATTACTAATAACAGGAGTTTTCTGTTTATTCTCATTCTCTGGAAAAAATAATCTTCACTGGCAAATAATTACAACAAGAGCGACGAAAGATGGAAATTCCCTCGAGTTCCTAAAAGCTGTCTAAATGTGTTTGTTACAGTACATATGTTCTTATGAACATGAAGACAATGTTTCCCGCTCTTCATTTTTCAATTTCGTAGGTAGAAGACATGCATTTATTTTTGCCAAATAAATACAAGTTAAATTGAATCCTTCTATAAACACATTGCAAAAAGTGACATATTCTTGTTATAAAGATAATTATCACAATATTTAAAACATGTGATTCAGAACCTCAGAAAATTGTACTCAAGCAATATATTTTAAGACATTTAAAGAGAGAAACATGGTATTCAGCCGGCTTTCGTCAAAATCTAAGGGAGCGCTCTGGAGCAAACATGCTCCAGGAGAGGACAAGCTGTTTAAAAGTGTCACATAAAAGGATCCAAAAGTGGTGAGACTTTTTTCTACAGAGAAATTGTTGACCTACTTTTTCTGTTTAAAGAAAATGTTGAAGAACATATTGTGTTACATGTGAGAACATAATGCACTTTGACATT